CTTCCCTTAGGGGACCTTGCAAAAGGCACTGGCCATTCAGCCATCTTAAAGCCAGTAAAGCCTGAGCCGCTAATCCCCAAAAGAACCCTGGCCCGCTAAACCCCGCAAACCTTGCAACCCCCTGAGCCCGAAAAAGAGAACCCTGAACCCATAAGCCCTGAACTGCACACTTCCCTAAATCTGACAGTCGCTAAACCCTAAACCCTAACCCTGAACGCTAAACCCTAAACCCTAAACCGTAAACCCTAAACCCCAAACCCCAAACCCCAAACCCCAAACCCCAAACCCCAAACCCCAAACCCTCACTTCGCCTACTCCCCAAGCTTGCGAGCGCCTTTCTAAGGCTGGACTGCTCCGTGCTGCAGAGGCTCTCTGGGTCTAGGTTTGAGGTGGTCTATAATGGGTGTAGTGTGCAGGGTTTAGGGTTTAGGGTTTAGGGTTTGGGGTTTGGGGTTTGGGGTTTAGGGTTTAGGGTTTAGGGTGACTGATTGGAGCTTTAGGGGACTAAGACTTAGGGGCTAGGGCTTAGGCGGTTCTGGGTTGCAGGGTTCAGGGGTTGCAGGGCGTCCCAGACTCTACTCTTGAGAACCATCGATGTTGTTTTTGTTATAAATGCCCTTGTGAGATTCTTGGTAGGGTCAAGGATTTGAGGTTCTTAGGGTTTTCAGGTTCAGGGTTCGTTTTTTTTTTCTCCTTTTCGGAGGGTCCAGTATCAGCTCTAAACCCGAACAAGCTGAATCTTCACCCCGGCATAGAGCAAGGGACCGCTAAAGAAAGGAACAACTCTGCACCAGCCTCCCTGCAACATGCGCGACCCAAGTCCTGGCATAAAGCCGCCCTTGCGGTTGTGGGCTTAGGGTTCAGGGTTTAGGCGGCTTAGGGTTTAGCATTGAGAAGCCCTTCGCCCGAAAGGCTTAACCTGACCTGCGGCAGCAAGCCAGAGGGCCTTTCTCTGAACCAGAGGCAGGGTTTAGGGTTTAAGATAGGGCTTAGGGTTTAGGGAGGCAACTCCAGTCAACTCCATGTTCGGCGTTCCCAGGGCTTCATTGCTCACCGGAGAGCCCGAAGTCCCAAACCCTCCCAAACCCCAAGCAGCTACAAACCCTCTAAGCTCCAAGAACCCCCCCCCCAAAAAAAAAAGAGTACATACATATATATATATATATATTATAGTTATATTTATATAATAGTAATAACAATAATGGTAATATCAATAAGAATACTACACACTGCAGGATAAGCTCCCGCTTCATTCCCTCCTACGAACCAGAAAGTAAGTAGCGCGGCCCAAGGCTTCGGGTTTGGGGGCCGTGGTCCCCTCCTTTATCCCAGAAGCTTTCGCCAAGGGACTACGTTTTGTACCTACTCACAGCTCCTGAAAACCTGCATGTCAGTACGACGCCTAAACCCCAAACCGTGTAAGCTTGTCAAAAGCCTAGCATTACGTGGCCAAGCCTTGAGAAAGTTCCCAGTTCTTGAATCCTAAACCCCAAGCCCTGAAGCCATAGATCAAGAACCCCAAACCCTTCACCTCAAACCCTCTAAACCCTCAGCCTCACCCTCCTTAAACCCTATAACCCCCAAAAGGTCTAGGGCTTTGGGTTAGGATTCTGAGCAAGCAACCCCCAAACCCTAAACCCTAAACCCTTGTGAAATTCCACCTGTTCAACCTCTGTATAGTGTGCAGCCGAGGTCACATCTCCGCTAGGTAAGATCCCCTAAGAACGCTCCCTTAAGACAAGGGCGCAGGTTCAGGGTTTTCGTTTAGGTTTCTCTCTAACTCCGCAGGCCTTGAGCACACTAGCCCAGCAAGCCGAAAAAGTGCTGTGTAGTTGCCCTTCCCAACGCCTCTTCCAAAACCCAAAACCCAAACCCGCAACCCTCAACCCTCAACCCTCAACCCTCAACCCTCAACCCTCAACTGTCAACCCTCAACCCTAAACCTTAAACCCTAAACCCTAAACCCTAAACCCTAAACCCTAAACCGCAACAGCCGCGTTTCCAGGGAGTGGCAAGCAGTGCGATTGAAGCCGTGTCCCGCGGGAGAGCGGCGCGTCAACTACACAGGCAAACTGGAAATCGGGATGAGGGGCTTTGGGGTTGATGCGTCGGGGATCCTCTCGTGCTTTGGGCGGGTGCCTGAGCCCTAAGCCCCAGATCTTAAAATCTTAGCCCCCAAACCCTGAACCCTAAATCCTAAGCCCCCCAAACCCTAAACCCTAAGCCCTAAACCCTAAGCCCTAAGCCCTAAATCCTAAGCCCCCCAAACCCTAAAGCCAAAGCCCCCCAAACCTAGCCCCAGCCTCGTCGTCGGCATCCTGATTTCCAGCTAAGGCACCCAACCCTAGCCCTGAGCATTTAGAATCCACGATCCCTGATCCTGCAACCTACATTATCCCCACTGTAACAGTTGCAGGGTTTAGGGTTTCGGGTTTGGGGTTTCGGGTTTAGGGGTTGGGGTGACGGGCAACTGTGAGGGGCCTTGGGGTCGAGCTGTTTATGTTCATGGTCGTGTGGCATGCCCCCGTGAGGGCAAACCCAGAGGATTCGGGATTTACCGCTCGGGGGCAGGGACTGCAGCTTGGGTTGAGGGCTTGCTGCCCATAAGCCCCAATCTGAGCCCCTGAGATCTCAACTCGAGGGGGTTTTGGGTTGAAGGTTCAGGGTTCCTCAAGCCTTCAACCCCCAAAAGAAGCCCGCCCTTATTTAGGGAAAATCAGGGTTTAGGGGTGACGGGCGTTCCGCTTCTAGGGTTTATGGTTGCACGTGTGGGCCAAGCGCCGACACCCCCACAGGTTACCCAGGTTTGGGGGTTTGTCTGCAAGCCTTAGAGGGTTTAGGGTTCGGGGTCTAGGGATTCAGGGTTTAGGCTTTTGGGTTTAGGGTTTAGGGTTTACGGTGAAACCCGAAACGTCTCCCCCCCCCCCATGATTGAGGCACCGAGTGCGTCCAGTGCCTTCCGGGCAAGTACAAGAGCAGCTCAGTTGCGAAGCACCCTGAGCCTTCTTAGCACAAGCACATGCGCTTTCGGGTTAGCAACCTAACCCGAAAACCCCTGAACCATAAACCCAAAACCCTAAACCCCAATTAAATTCTAAACCCACACCCTGAGCCCGAAGCCCTAAGCCCTAAACCCTAAACCCTAGGCAGGCCCTTGATATTTTCCCAGTTCAACCTTAGGTGAAGCCGCCCCAGACCCTCTACTTTTGGAGGCTCATGGTACTTATTTACCAAGCATAACTGGACTTGAAGGGGTTTAGGGTTTAGGGCTTAGGGTTTAGGATTTAGGGTTTAGGGTTTAGGGTTTAGGGTTTAGGGAGATCCTCTTTTAAGGGCTCATAAGGACCATGTATCTAGCCTAACCACGCACTGTACAACCTTTGTCCCTTGCCCCTGCACTTCGGGGTTTGGATGCCCGTCGAACGGAGCCAGTACCCCGGGTTAGGGTCTAGGGTTTATTTAGGGTTTAGGGTCTAGGGTTTAGGGTTTAGGGTGCCGGTGAGTCTTCAGAGTCAGTGCCTGCGACTCCGAGACGTGATTCGGGAAGCATTGTTCACCGTCTCGCACGGAGAATTCCGCAGACGTCTTTGTCCAGAGCCTGGCCAAGCTGTGTGCTACGGTATAGACGTTGGTGACAGGTATGCTTCGCGCGAGCTTTTTTTGCAACTGGTGGCAATGGCCCGAGTCTGTAAGGCTTGGGTCTTTAGAGGTTTTGAACCCAAGACCTCAAACCCTAAGCCCTTTAAGGGTCTGATGTGCAGACCGTTTGTTTATCCTAGACCTTAACCCTTGACATTGTGTTCAAGGGGCCTTTAACTTAGAACGATCCCATCCGAACCAACCCCTCCACCCTGACTTCCTACAGCCCTACGTAACCCCCCTCCCCAACTTCAGCATGAATTGGCCAACATCGCTACATTATGGTCCCTTTCTGCTTGCCCTGAGGAACCCCAAACCCCGAACCCGTCAAAGCCATACAACCCTCAGAGAAGCCCGTAGACACACTTCGAGAGCCTTCAGTAAACCCTGTACAAACAACCCTCTAACAAACCCTGAAACAAACTTACAAAACCCCCTGAAATGAGACACCCCCAAATTACTCTGTGGGTCTTTACTGCAACCTTAGACACTTACACTTCCTAGAGAGACGCAATAGGCATATGTGTATATGGGAACCCAGAAGGGATGGTAAATAAACCCTGAGGGAAGGATACCCCAAACCTGAAACCCTAGGACCTATAAACCCTAAACCCGAAGCCATAAGCCCTATAACCCTAAACCCGAAACCCCAAGCCCTAAACCCTAAGCCCTAAACCCTAAACCCTAAACCCAGCCCCAAAGTGCAAGACTCCAATGATGGTGAGCTGAGGTGGAGTCGGTCCAGCTCTCTTTTGCGAAAACTGCAACATCGGCTTCTACATGGGCTTGCCGGGTGCAGGCCCGTCTGACTTTGATAAACCCTAAACCCTAAACCCTAAACCCTAAACCCTAAACCCCAAACCCTAAACCCTAAACCCTAAACCCTAAAGCCTAACTTGGGGCCGGACTTCGGCTTGTTGGTTTCAAAGAGCGTTCTTCGTTTTTTTTTGTGTTTTGCACCTTGACGGCGTTTAAGGGTGCACTCTCCTATGCAGGGCTACTCCAGCTAGGGTTTAGGGGGCCAGGGGGCACGGAAGTAGGGTTTGGGGTTGAGGGAGGTTAGGGTTTAGGGTTCAGGGTTCAGGGTTTAGGGTTTAGGGTTTAGCGTTTAGGGTTTAGGGTTTAGGATTTAGGGTTTAGGGTTTAGGGTTTAGGCTCCGCAGTGGCGCCATCAGAGCCCGGGTCCAGGTTCCAGAGAGGATTTCTCTCGATTCTGGTCCCTTGCTGGGTTAACCGCCCAAAAGTATGGGGGGTTGGGGGGGGGGGGGGGTTAGAGGGTTTAGGGTTGGGGTTGAGGGTTGAGGGTTGAGGGTTTAGGGTTTAGGGTTTAGGGTTTAGGGTTCAGGGTTTAGGGTTTAGGGTTTAGGGTTTGGGAGGGGGGGTTTTGCAGTATTTCAATAGAAACCCCCAAACAGAGACCCGGAATTCAGAGAACTGCCGGAAGGGATGGTCACTTCATCTATAAGTTCGGGGCTTTCCTCTCGGGTGACCGAACACAAACTCATGGCCCGGCCGCATTGCAACAGGGAACCGTCAGTGACCCCAAGAGCCTTCTAAACCCCTTTAGGGCCGAAGCTCCGGGTACGAGCGCGGGGTGGGCTGGGGGTTTCTGGGTTGGGGTTTAGGGTTTAGGGTTTAGGGTTTAGGGTTTAGGGTCCTGGCGGGGGTGGGGGAGGAACAGAGATTGATGTTCCACACATCGAAGTTTTTTATGGCCATCCTGACATCATTGACAGGCGCCTGCCAGGCATGTCCACCCCACGAGACGACGAACATCACCGGTGCCACGGAAGCTTGTTTCGCATCTGGGTCCTCAGGTGTTTGACCCTAAACCCTAAACCCTAAACCCTAAACCCTAAACCCTAAACCCTAAACCCCAAACCCCAAACCCCAAGCCCTAAACCCTAAACCCTAAACCCGAATCAAGCCCTAGACATTCCTAGTTCATAAGCTTCAAGGTCCTTGCATCACGGCAAGCTCTGGCTTTAGTTTTCCATGGAAGGCTCAGAACTCTTGAGTTTCCTCAGCGCGGTTTAGGGTTTTGGGTTTTGGGGGTTTGGGGGTTTGGGGGTTTGGGGGTTTAGGGTTTAGGAAGTTTCGGGTTTAGGGGTTTAGGGGTTTAGGGTTTTGGGCTTTCAACACTAAATAAGCCCTCAGCGCCTACATCCTAAGCCCTGAACCTCACAAGCACTCGGCGCGCTGAACCCGAAACCCTAACCTTAAGCCTTCAAATAGCCCAAAGTATGTCTTATTTACAGTCTTTAGACCCTAATGTAGGTGTTATTATTATTTGTATACTTGGGGCCCGAGGGGAAGCCATGAACCCTACAGGCTGTAGGATGTCAAGCAGCTTTTCTTGTATGTAGGGGGTGGGGGGTGGGGTGTTAGGTTGGGTTCACTTATGAGGCCCCTTTCAACAATAAAATGGCACCTCGTTTCTCTTTTTTCGATTGTCGGGGGAACTCTGCCCCTCCAAGCAACTCTGCAGAAAGTCAGGAAATCGTCTCCTGCGACTGTGCACCGGGCTACTTCCGCACCACGGGCAACGAGACGGCTGCGCAGCCGCAGACGCGGAATGTCTTCCGTATAGGGCTCATGATTTCACACGATTTGTTGAGGGGGCTCCCCGAATTGAATTTCTGAATCTCAACAAGGCTCAACACCCTCCAAAAGGCTTTGGAGTTTCAGGTTCGCTTACGTCTAGTATGATATTCCCAGACCCTAAACCCCACAAGTCTCCCCACAAACTCCAATGCTCCTTCTTAAACCCTCACAAACCTCCAAACCCTAAAGATTCCTCACAATCCCGAAGCCCTGAACCTTTCCCAAGAAAATCTCTCTTAGCTTGGACAGGGATGGTATGTGAACCCTGAGGGAGTGACACCCTAAATCCTAAGCCCTAAACCCTAAACCCTGAACCCTGAACCCTAAACCCTGAGGGAATGAGGTAGGGTATACCCAGCTCCCTACTTCGTTACCAAGACTTTCAATCCTCGACTGGTTGAGTTCCTGCTGCACCTCTCAAAGGCTGATGCTCAAAAGCTGATCTTGCTGGGTTCAGGGTTTAGGGTTTAGGGTTTAGGGTTTAGGGTTTAGGGTTTAGGGTTTAGGGTTTAGGGTTTAGGGTTTAGGGTTTATAAGGGTTTATAAGGGTTTATAAGGGTTTATGAGGGTTTATAAGGGTTTAGGGTTTCGGGTTTACCCAAAACCCTAAGCCTAGTAGCATCTCAAGCTGAAGGAATGGGAGCTGGCCAGCTTCCACGGCGTTTGTCAGCCCTGCCCGGTTGGAGCCATTTGCGGCTCGGTCGCGGAATGAGTTCGGGGGAGGTATGTATGCACCTCCTCAAAGTACCCTAAATACACGCTGAGCCCTGAACCCTAAGCCCTAAACCCGAAGAAGGTGCCTAGGCAACTGGATCCTCGGGGGTATAACGGTATAACCCTAAACTCCGGAAGCGCGCGAAGGTGATGGCGGCCCCACGCTGCCCTACTCGGATGATGGCTACTGGACCCCTGACAGGCACGTTGGGGAGTTTCGGGCTCATCCTGGAGGTTTAGGGTTATATCATGAAAGGGTTATATCATAGAGGGTTCAGGGACAGTTGTGGCTGACCAACATGAGGTTAGATTTTCCGATGTTCCGATGTGTTGTTTTTTAATGAAATAGGGTTTGGGGGTTCGGATACTCCTAGTCAACGAGGCAATACCCAGGTCCCAACAAGAAATTCCAGTAGTGGCCATGTGGGGTTTACGAAAATAGGGGACCGCCAATATGGATCCCCAAAGCAGGATTCCCTTATGATTAGGGCCCCATTATGGTACCCCGAATTCCGGAAACCCCCATGTAAGTTGCGTAGCTTGACTTTGAGGTTCATGGTACTTAACTGTACTTGTAACCAGGTCAGGGCACTTAAGGGGCTTATAAGGTGGTTAATAAGTACCGTTATAATTGGTTAATAAGTACCCTAAACCCTAAACCCTAAAAGCCCTAAGCCTCAAACCCCCTTGACCCTCCCTTGGCAAGGTTTGAATTCTGGCCATGCTTCCCCTTCCACGCTTGCATGCAAGGCTGGGCAGGGCGAGAATACACAAATAAAGGTAAATAAGTAGAAGCCAATAAGCATAAATAAATTAGTAAGGTATGTTATATATATATATATATATAGTTATTTATTTATTTTTATTCATATATAGATACATATATAGTTGTCGATATTCCTTCTTGCGGGGATATTGGAAGCTCCAGGGTACCTGAAAACGAATCTCGCCAGCCACCCTGACCTACAACAATTGTGGTTGACCTAAAGTCTGTTGGGGGGGGGGGGCGGGGGGGGGCGGGGGGGGGGGGGGGTGGGGGGGCGGGGGGGGGGGGGGGGGCGGGGGGGGCGGGGGGGGGGGGGGCGGGGGGGGGGGCGGGGGGGGGGGGGGGGGGCGGGGAGGGGCGGGGGGCGGGGCGGGGGGGGGGGCGGGGGGGGGCGGGGGGGGGCGGGGCGGGCGGGGGGGGGGGGACTTCGTCTCCTTGTCTCTATGCTTTATGGGCAGCCTGGTTATTTGAACACTTGCCCTTAACCCAAAACCCTAAACCCTAAACCCTAAACCCTAAACCCTAAACCCTAAACCCTGTTGTGTGGGGGGATGGGGGGGCGGGGGAGAGGGCCGGGCTCTGGGACTCAGAGTTCTGGCTACTGAATTCAATCTCTCAACCTTCAACCATGTTGGACCCAAATCAACCTTAAACCCTAAACCCTAAACCCTAAACCCTAAACCCTAAACCCTAAACCCTAAACCCTAAACCCTAAACCCTCAGCCTTGTAAGCCCTAAACCTTGGGGCCCTTATACTCACAGTCCTCAATAGGGATTATAAGAGGGGGTGCTAGAATCCAAAGTAAGGACTATTGGTATAAGGGGGAGCTTCCCACCTAAACCTCAAGCCCAGCTTGAGGACACGCGGATGGCCTGATGCTCAGCCAGGGTTCGGGTTTGGGAGTTTGGTGGATATGGGGGGTTTCCGAAAGTAGAGGTACCTTATTTGGGTCATGATTTTAAGGGAATCTATTTATTGGGGGTTTACATTAGGGGTCCTTTATTCTCGTAAACTCCCATATCGTGGTAGCCCAGCAGTACCGTTCAAGGTTCCTTATAAAGTAACCACGAAAGAAGGGTGCCCTTATCATAATATGGCGACTCAAAAACCTTGTTGTAGGCTATTACGGCACAACCCCTTAGAGGAATTTAGGTAGTTTGTGTTACACAAATCTGGCTTTGGGTTCTTAATTTAATGTCTATGTCCACCAATAGGGCTGAGAGACAGCACCATCCTTCTCGTGCGAGCAGTCGGATTTGGTGGAGGATTTACCAGCAGGATCTAAGCCCTAGAATCCCTGAACACAATTGCTTAAGAACCCCCCCCCTCAAAACAGCTAATCACCCTTATTACTCTTATAGGGAAGAAGAATTGTTTTTTGAGTAGTAACAGCCCTAAAGTCTAAAGCCCAACAAGTTGGAGCCCAAACCCTGCTGCGCACCCTGAGGCCATCAATCCCAGACTGTCCTTGCAGAGTATAGGGTTTAGGGTTTAGGGTTTAGGGTTTAGGGGTTTAGGGTTTAGGGTCTAGGGTCTAGGGTATCGGATCGTGCATTTGATGCTGTATTCTAGGGACCGAAGTATGGGCGCTTACTTTGGGGACCCTTCTATATAGCCCTTATATGCACTTTAGATATCAAGGGCCCATACTTCGGATCCCTGTATACAAGGGTAAGGGACCATACTAAGGGCCCATGGTTTCCGACCTTGATGTATCTGCTTGCAGTTCATGACAACCTGATAACCCCAACCCTCGAGCAAACCCTAAACCCTAAACCCTAAACCCTAAATTGCGCATCCGTGTGCCCGAAGTCGAATCCCTGATGCAATCGCGTTGTGAAGAGGCTTGCTGGCCTAGAGGACACTTGCGGATGACTAGGACCCAGAGTAGGCCCTTGTTCCCCTTTTTTAGGGTTTAGGGTTTAGGGTTTAAGGCTTACTGGGACCCAGAGTAGGCCCTTGTTCCCCTTTTTTTAGGGCTTACAACCCCCCTTTAAAACAAAAAGGGCACCCCTGTTTTACTCCTAGGTTTCTCCTGGGTCTAGATTATGAGCCGTGGCCTTGTGCGTGGATGGCCGGAGGTGCTCGGCATGGGTTGAGCTAGGGTTCTATCCGAGACTCCGCGAACGGTGCTGATCCTCCTTTAAACCCTAAACCCTAAACCCTAAACCTAAAACCGAAACCCTAAACCCCAAACCCCAAACCCTAAACCCTAAACCCAGCAAAATTCCAGAGCGCCGTTGAAGTCGCGGCCATGGTGCGCTGGCGAAAAGCCACAAGAAAGACGATACTCCACGTGACACATGGGGCTTAGGGTTTAGGGTTTAGGGTTTGGGGTTTAGGGTTTAGGGTTTAGGGTTTTATGACCTTTGGGCACCAAATGGGGGACTGGCGAAAATAGGGGACCCCTAAAACAGACCCCCCATAAATTGCAGGATTCCCTTATGTAACATGGACATCAATAAGGGACCCATGACTTCGGAAGCCGTGGCTGTGATCCAGGTGTCTTACCCCTGTACCCTAAACCCTAAACCCTAAACCCTAAACCCTAAGCCCTAAGCCCTAAGCCCTAAGCCCTAAGCCCTAAGCCCTAAGCCCTAAGCCCTAAGCCCTAAGCCCTAAACCAACCCTAAATCGTAGATCCTAAACCCTACAAAGCCTAAACACGATCGAACCCCGAAACCTTGACCAGCCTAATGTTGACGTCCTGCTGAGGGTGCAGGATAGCCTCCAGGGTTATGGGCTCAGGAGTTGAAGGTTTGGGCTTCGGGTCTACTTGGTGGTTCCTGGTACTTTTTAAGCAATTCTAGCTGTATTTATAGCTGTACTTATGACCGTATTAGGGCACTTAAGGGGCTTGGTTGTCTTTCAGTTTGGTCTGCTGCGCCGAGATCCGAACGAGTGCGAAGACACCCGCGATCAAGACTCCGTCCGATGTGGCCAGTGCCACACCGATGCTTACGCGCATCAAAGCTCCCCGGCTGTAGGGGCTTGCGGAACTCAAAGGGCTCCCTAAGGTTAGCTTTTCGTTGCCCGGCAAACTGGATCCCAAGGTAACGCTAAACCCTAAACCCTAAACCCTAAACCCTAAACCCTAAACCCTAAACCCACATACCCTGAGAGGACCTCAGAGACCAAATGAACCCTAATCACTTCACCCTCGTCCTAAACACCCCCCCCCCCCCGCCCCCCCGGGTTTCCTAAACCCTAAACCCTAAACCTTAAACCCTAAACCCTAAACCCTCTGCCGAAACCGACCCCGCCTTTTTTAAACCCTATTCCGAATTTGGGGGGGGGGGGGGTTCAGAGCCTCAAAAACCTTCAAGCCATTCTAAACCCCAAAGATGGCATATGGATAGAAACATCCCCCTAATATCTAAAAAAACACATTGCGAGTTTCTATGGGGGGAGGGGGCACCCGTGTAATAATGGGGCAAGCGATGAACAGGTTTAGGGTTTAGGGGTTTAGGGTCCATGTACCTTATCCGGGATTATCGTAGTACATGGAATATGACCCCAACTATGGGGTTCATTTGGTCCTCAAGGGATTGATTTAGTCTTCACTTGTGGAATGGCCAGGGAGGCATGCGCCTGTCCACGGAGTAGGGGTAGGGATCACAGCGAGGGGTTTAGGGTTTAGGGTTTAGGGTTTAGGGTGTTGTGTAGCCTTCTGTGGACAGTCACGTAAAATCATGTGAGTGTGGGGGGGGGGTGGCGGGGGGCGTTGCAGGCTGCGGGTGTTCTCCGCTCTGGGAATGATGGATTTAGGTACCCTAAACCCTAAACCCTGTAGGCCTCCTACCGAAGCCTACAAGGTGAGTGCTACTCCTGCCGCGCACCGGATGTGCTGATAGCCTGGCTGGGCCCCTTCCTGCAGCTTGTCTAAGGGCCCTGAATAATATGGTCCCTAACCTCCTGTAAAGGGTTCTCATGTATGGGCCCTTGATGTGTACAGGGTATATAAGGGGCATAAACGGGGTACCCTTTCAAGGGTAGGCAGAGAGTGTGGTATTGTCCTCAAGCACCACCCTTTCACGAAGGTGCTCTGGGAGAATCAGCCTACCAGGGAGGGTTTTGGGTTTAGGGTTTAGGGTTTAGGGGGGAGCCACAGTTCTTTCCCGTTTTAGCCCTTTGTACGGCTTATAGGGAGCCTCATTCCCTCATTCCGAACCAAGAAGCAGTAAGACACAACTGCGATTCGGGTTAGGGCTTTGGGCGAGAATCCTTCAGCTTACCGCACCGCCGTACGCGCCGTCGTAGGTATCCCCTGCTGATGATCTTTGCAACTTGGCAGAGAATGCGGGCAGGGTGCTGCTGCAGAGGTTCAGGGCTTTCCGGGTTAGGGTTTAGGGCTTGGGCTGTCGGGTCTAGCTTAGGATTAGGGTTTATGGCCTTAGTTAGGTGCAAAGACTTGCGTGACCCGTTTTCGGATTTGGTGTTTGTTGCCGTTTGGCAGTGTCAAAGATCCCTGAGCCCTAAACCCAAACCCCTAAACCACCCTACGCAGTGCTCTCAAGAACCAATTCGCAGAGCCATGAAACAATTTCCGGCTCAGTGCCAAGAGCCCTAATCTCTAACCCGGAGTCCCCACAGATGCCTTATGCCCCGCGAAATACCCTTAATCCCAAGGCAGTTCAAACCCTAGACCCCTAAACCCTATAAACCCTAAAACCCGAAACCCCCCAAACCCCCGGACCCTAAAATCCAAAGATCCTAAAACCACAAGCCCCTAAAACCCTGCAATCCTAAACTCAGTAGCTGAAATAATGAGTACACTTTACACTTTTTGGGATACGATAATCCCCTATAGAGCTGAACGTGTACAGTTTTTGGGGCTTATGAACTCAGCAACTAAGTTCAACTAAGTAAACCGGCGAAAGCCCTGATTCGATCTCTGATTTCTGAAGCCGAGAACCCTTAACCCTAAACCCTAAACCTTGGGATGTTCCCCCCCTTATACTAACAGCTCCTTAATGGGGATTATCATAGGGGGTATTGCAGTCCCTATGAAGGACTGTTAGTATCAGTGGGAACATCCCAGCTTAAACCCTACAACCCTAAACCCTGAACCCTGACACCCTGAAACCCTAAACCCCAAACCCTCAACCCTCAACCCTAAACCCTGAACCCTGAAACCCTGATTCCTGCCAGGGCTTCCTGCCACCGTTGATTCGATCTCTGCGCGCCTGGGCGGAAATTCCGCACTCAGGGCTTGGAAGAGTTTAGGGTTTAGGGTTTAGGGTTTAAGGGCCTTCGGGTCTGTTTCGTGTCCTTTGGTCCAGAATTTCGTCGACTTAACCTTCAGGCCTAGATGCCGGTTTTGGGCTGAGCCCTTGTGTCCCTAAACCCTAAACCCTAAACCCTAATTCCTAAACCCTAAACCCTGAGGGGGATCAGACACGGCTATCAGTGGCTGTGCTGGAGCCCCCCAAACCCCCCTCCCCCCCCCCCCCCCCCCCAAAAAAAAAAAAAACTCCCTGCAGGTTAAGCAGAAATTGGGGTTTGGGGTTTGGGGTTTGGGGTTTAGGGTGTTTATCCATGTGAAGCCCGAACCCCATAATCAGCAACCCAGGGTTTAGGGTTTAGGGTTTAGGGTTTAGGGTTTAGGGTTTAGGGTTTAGGGTTTAGGGTTTAGGGTTTAGTTCATCAGCAACCCAGGCTCCATGGACATGGACCATACGAAGAAAGCACGGAGATTGATCCGCACCGAGAAGCACACGAGCTGGCTAGGTGGGGCCATGCAGGGTGGGGGGCGGGGGGGGGGGGGGGGGGGGGGGGGGGGAATGAGGGGCTAAGGGAAAAGAACCCTGAACCCTAAGCCCTAAACCCTAAACCCTAAACCCCTAATGTTGACTTCGCATTAATAACCCCCCCCCCTTCATTGATCAATCTTTTCGGCCAGGGCCTCCTCAATAATATCCGCCTAAATCCTGGTAGGACGTAGTATTAGTTTTAGTATTAGGTAGTAGTACCACTAGTAGTACTAGTAGTACTAGTAGTACTAGTAGTAGTACTAGTAGTAGTAGTAGTAGTAGTAGTAGTAGTAGTAGTAGTAGTAGTAGTAGTAGTAGTAGTAGTAGTAGTAGTAGTAGTAATTCTCTTCCAACACCCTGAAACTTATCAGTTTAAGTTAGTTGCACAACATCGCCCGAAAAAAAAATAATTCCGGGCGGGGATTTTATAATTGTGGCGGGTTACATTATTGTGTTCCGGGCAGCGGGATTTTATAATTGTAGCGGGCTTTATTAATGTCAAGTCAACATTAAACCCTAAGCCCTATTGGGTTTGGGGATTTGGGGGTTTGAAGTTCACGGCTGCGGCTTCGGCTTAATTCTTTCTTTTTGAAAGAGGGCTTCCCAGCGACCGGATGCAAGGAGCCCCTGCTGGCTCCTGAGCCTGTATACACACATATATATATATATATACATATACACATATTTTCTTATAAGAATATAGGTGAGTATGTATATACACACATATTCATATATATGAATATAGGTGTGTATATATATATATGTATTTATTTATTTGTTTTATGCATGTGTATGTGAAGCATGATTCTTCACTGTACGGAAGTGTTCACAACTTGGATCATCCGCCTTACCAACCCGAAAGCTCCAGATCCTCAAGACCCCAATGGTCCTTACTTAGCTAGTAGTTTCGGGTTTATGGTTTAGGGTTTAGTGTTGAGGTTTAGGGCTTCTTTCTTTATTTGGAAGAATATAACTTCATCTGTTTCTTAAAATTCCTAGGCTATTCGAGAACTAAGTTTCTCTGAAGCTACTTGGAGGTTCAGGGTACGTATAACCCCAATTATAACTGCAATCATAAGCCTCCTAAGTCCCCTAAGTAGGTTATTAGTAGACTTATAGTTGGGGTTATAAGTACCCATGAACCTCCAAGTAAGCCCTAAACCCTAAACCACCCTAAACCCTCAACCCTAAAGCCATCCCGCAAGGCCCTTTAAATCCCTTTGTGTCGTGTGGGAACGCCCAGCTAAGGGAAGTTACATGCTCCTTTAATTTTAATATAGGGGTCGGTAGACTTGCTGTTTTAGTATTCCCTCCTGGACCGGTAAAGACCCTATTCTAATTATCAAGGCCCCTTGCCTTCTTTAAAGGGTTCCGAAGTGTGGACCCGTGGGTTCATTCGGGTTTATTAGGGGGGGGGGGGGTAAATACAGGGTCCCCATTCAAGGGCCGTCCAGATTAGCTAAGGGTCCATGAAACTACCCTGAACCCCAAACCCTAAACCCCGAACCCCAAACCCTAAACCCCAAACCCTAAACCCTAAACCCCAAGCCCAGACCATGCGCAGCTCCTTCGGAGGTCGACTGGCCGAGTCAGATCACGGAGAGTTCCGGATGATCATCATCATGGTGACCTGCCTCCAGACGCCCCTTGGTTAGCCACGGTTTAGGGTTTAGGGTTTAGGGTTCTCTCTTTCTCTCTCTCTATCTCTCTCTCTCTCTCTTTCTCTCTCCTCTCTCGATCTCTCTCTCTCTCACTCACTCTCACTCTCTCTCTCTCTCTCTCTCTCTCGCTCTCTTGCAGGGCGTATGTTTTTGTTGTTTGTGGTTGTATGTTCTTTTGGGATGATGTGCTCCACCTCTCAGGGTATTGGGCGATTGGGAGTAGGGGCGTTCTACCTTGCACCCGAACTTAAGGAGCCTGAGGCCTTCCCTGGAGGAGGGGTTCGGGGCGTTTGTTAGTGTAGAAAGCCTGAATCCCTAAACCCTAATCCACAAATGGCTGGATTCTTTCCAGGAACTCTTCTCCCTTCATCGACCCGAGAGAGCCCCTGATCAAACGAGCCGTACCTGAAGCCTTATACAACTCATGGATGTCTGATATTTCCCCTTTCTGGGCTTGATCAAGATCCCTAGTATAATTGACCCCCAAATAGTAGGATCCCCTTATTAAACGGACCCCAATAAGGTAAGAGTGGTTTAAAAGGACCAACCCTCCTTCGCCTCCTTCAGCTGTCCGCAAAGCTGAGGCTCTGGATCGTTTCTCTGATGCCTTTGCCCTACACCCGACTCTTGGTGGCAGGTTGTTGGGTTGAGGGTCTCTAAACCCTAATCCCCCGATTACAATAAGGCACCACAAAACAAGCAAACCCTAAACCCTAAACCCTACTAGGGTTTAGGCTTTGGGGTTTCGGGTTGCGGGTCGGTGCTTGGGCTGTTAGGGTTGGTTCGGGCTTTAAAGAGGTTAGGGCTTCAGGGTTTCGATTTTAGGGTGTTAGGGCTTTAGGGCTTTAGGGTTTTGGGTGATTTGAAGGTAGAGGTTCAGGACAGGGGGGAGGGCAGGAGTTCGGGGGCTTCTCAACTACCGCAGAATCACTTCGAGAAAGGAGACCGAGGATGCCTTTAACAGGCACCCCTGTCCAACCCTGGCCTTAACACCCAAGCCCACACCCCTGCCCGAAGCTGTCCTCGAAAGGGAGGTTTCTGCTTTAATTGGGTTCCCCTATTTCACCCCTATATATATATATATATATACCTTATTATTGTCCCTTACTATACCTAAGTTCCCGCAAAGAACCCCTAGATGACCCCTAGGGTCCCTTAGAAGGCTCCCTCCTTGAGTCCTTGGTTTGGGGCAGGGTGCGAAAGTGGGGGAAATCAACTTCTGCTTCGAGCCCTCAACCCTAAACCCGAAGCCCTATACCCTAAACCCTAAGCCCTAAACCCTAAACCCTAAACCCCCTAAGCCTAAACCCTAAACCCTAGCCTGCACGAGTCTTCTAACCTGCGCGAGGCTTTACGCAAGACTGGCTCTGGGCTCTAGGTGCCGGCCCCAGCGCGGCTTCTGTTCTTGGCAAGTGGGGGCTTTGGGGAGTTACTTGGAGGTTCACGGGTTTAGGGTTTAGGGTTTAGGGTTTAGGGTTTAGGGTTTAGGGGTACTTATTACCCAAATACAGCTGTACTTGTGACTTATAACCCACTTATATGCCCCTTCAGTGTCATAGTATGGCTATAATTACAGTGATAAGCGCAGTATTTTGTTAACAAGTACCATGAATCTCCAAGTAAGAGTTAAGGGTTTCTACTTGTAGGGCTCCACTAGATCTCCTGGAACTTGGGAGACTGCCTCTAGTCTAATATAAGGCCTTTATCATTTGAATATCATTTTTTTGGGGGGGTTAGTATAGTATAACTACTCCGGGACTGTGAGGGAATTCTATTAGTAATTCCCTCATTTAAATCCTCTATAAGAGTCTTGCCTGGCTTCTCCTGAATCCGAGAAGGTTCAGAGAGGCATAGTACGGCCTCGGCATACAAGTTGCAGTGGATGATCTTGAAAAACAAAAACGCTGAGCCCTGAACCCTACAATCCCCAAAGCCTGAGCCAGGAATGGGGCTTGAAAATCGGGTTCAAGAAATTCAGATTCGCAGTCCAAGAGTTCAGGCGTGAGGATGCGAATCAGCCTGTGAACACACATCCGGTGTTAGGGTTTGGGGCTTATGGCCAAGTTTAGGGTGTTGGGCTTAGGGCAGTTTAGGGTTTAGGGTTTAGGGTTTAGGGTTACAGCTGTTCATACCCGGATAGAATACGATGTTGATCTCTTAACCCACAAGCAGTTTGGGCTGACTCTCAGTGAAGTACGTTTTGTTGGCCAGTGTTTTTTCACCTGCTCTGCTCAGGGGAAGTAACGACAGGTACCAATTACGTTGTGAAGGGGTATGTTTGGGCGGCTTTTGCATATAAAGACTCCTCCAGAAGTATGGGGACGTTCTTCTTCAAGACAACGCTAGTGCGAGCGATCGAATCAAGTCCTAGCGAAGCAGCAACCCCTATACCCTAAACCCTAAACCCCAAACCCCAAACCCTAAACCCTAAACCCTAAACCCTAAACCCTAAACCCTAAACTCCAAGCCACAGGCCCAACCCGGAGGCCATCTAGCCCTTACTCCGACTCACTGTCCTTGCTGCTCTGTAGTGATGTTTGATGCGCTCACACCATGTTATGTGGTTTTTTGTGGAGAAGAAGCAAAGGACATGAACACTGTCCTTGCTGCTCTGTAGTGATGTTTGATGCGCTCACACCATGTTATGTGGTTTTTTGTGGAGAAGAAGCAAAGGACATGAACAATATATATATATATATATCTTGACCCCCTCCCCCCCCCCCCCCCCCCCCGCGGAACCCACCCTTCATCTTCCCCTTCGGCACCCCCGTCCCCACGCTCAACTCCTGGCCGGGTTTAGGGTTTAGGTGGTTTAGGGTTTGGGGTTTAGGGTTTCGGGGGTTGAGGTGGTTTAGGGTTTCGGGCAGAATATGCAATCCAAGCCCTGGCGTTTTAGGCATTGTGGCTTGGGACCTCTCCATCTTCCGGCCGCAGTGTGCGTTCAAGTCTCCTGGCCATGTCAGTTCGGCTTCCTGCTTTCGAGTTTCAGGGCCATATGGGGGGTTTCCAAAACTAGGGGAGACTTTACGGGGGGCCCTTATGACATAAGGGAATCCTATACTTTTTGGGGCCCTACTTCAGGGGTCCCCGATGTTCGTTAAAAAACAACATATGGGTTCGAGGCTTTTAGGCCTTTTTTGGGGCTCTATGGGGTTTACAGGCATGTGGGGAGTTTGCGCGTTTCAGGGTCTTAGGAGGGCTGCTGGACTGACATCAGCTCCTTATGACAACAGGCGCTAAACTTCACAGCTTCCACACCACATTCGTCCCCACGCTGCGGTGCGGACTGGATGCCCTCACCCGGAAGTCTGTCCTGAAACTGCGGGCCACACCTTACTCCACATTTGGCTTCCTCAAGTGGGTTTAGGGTTTAGGGTTTAGGGTTTAGGGTTTAGGGTTGGGGTTTTTGGGGATGGGGGGGGGGGGGGCTTGCGCAGGCTAGTCCTAGAATAGGACCAGGGCTGAGCGGACTTCGTCCTCGACCCATGTTAGATCAAGAGGATCCTCGGGCAAGTCGTAGAGGCATGCAGTTTCCACACCGTAATCTTAGGACGTAGACCCTGAATTGGGGTGCTTTTGTGCGAACCTAACTTCTTGTTGTGTGAAACCAGCCATGAATTAGGTACCCCCCAAAATGGAGCTACCATCACGGGTCTTCAAAGAATCTGAGTCCGCACCTCCCCCTAAGCAGTAGTGTGGACCTATTTACCCTAATTGGCGTTCCTTTTTGATAGTATGCTAACCATAAAGACAAGTACCCCCCCCCCACCTCAACAAAAAAAACAACACCCACAAATAGAGGTTCAGGTTGTATGGGGCACTCCGGAATTCAAATGCACGCGCTCACCATGGCAAAGCACGCCTTAAAGCCTTTAGAGCCCAATCTTCCAAGCCCTTCCTTAAACTAAAGCGCTCCATATACCTGGAACCCTCTTTACCTACGGTTTTATGGATTTACCTACTACCAAAGGATAGCTACAACTAAACTGTAGGTAAATGGAGTCCCATGTGCACCCTAAGCCCTAAAGTCCTGGAAGGCTGTCCTACTTCATGAAGTGGTTCTTGCAGTGGTTCACATTCTTCGTGATGGTGGTCGCCTGCTCAGTTTTGGGTCCAGGGTTTAGGGATTTGGGTTTTGGGGTCTAAGCCACTGCGCCAGGCTGTTTGCAGTTTGATTAGGAGTTTAGGGCTTCCGGTCAAGGGTTTACTTGCAATTTGCACCTCCGCGTGACCAACGAGTTTTTCGTTGCGACTTTCACGGGTGCATGTATAGGTTCTTGAGAGAGTGTCAGCCTTGGTTTGTTTCCATATGGATGTCACAAAATGTTATTTCACATCGGAGTTGCATGTAACATCACACCCTACCATGCAGCAGCTATATCATACCAGATCGCATCACATCCTATCCAGCAGCCTCCCCTAAACCCTAAACCCTAAACCCTAAACCCTAAACCCTAAACCCTAAACCCTAAACCCTTAACCTCGTTTTAGGGTTTAGGGTTTAGTATAGGGTATATGACCCACCCGAATTACAGGGGTCATCTGGGTCCCAGGTAAAGAGCAAGCCGTACACCGGCACACCGAATGCAAGAACAAGTCAGACATGAAGAAGTCGTCTTAGCCAACTCAACATGTGTTGGGCTGTATTGTACGACCTAAACAAGGCCATGTCTTGTATTGTATCAGGTGTCTCATGTCTCTGTCTCTCTCACTCTCTTTCTCCCTTTCTCTCCCACTGTAACCTCGCTGTGGCGCTCTATCACTCTTCTCCCTTTCGCGCTCTTTCTCCCTCTGTGATGATCTGTCTCTCTTTCGCTCTCCTTTGCTCTTGTCTCTTGTCTCTCTCTCTCTCTCTCTCCCTCTTTCTCTCACTGTCTGCATAGAGCTAGCTGTCTGGATCGTCCTCTCTGAACTTTCTCCTCCGTCCTTTAGCCCTCAACTCGGGGCAGGTGGGCAGCTGGGCTTAGGGTTCAGGGTTCAGGGTTCAGGGTTCAGGGTTCAGGGTTCAGGGTTCAGGGTTTAGGGTTTAGGGTTTAGGGTTTAGGGTTTAGGAGCATCCATTTCCACAAACTTCGCTTGCTTTCCGCGACCTCCGAGTCCGTGCTTGCCATGCTGATGATGATCTACTGCCACTCGCACAAGCAGCTTCGCCGCCTTTAGGGTTTCGGGGTTTAGGGTTTAGGGTTTATAGAAATCCGGGGTTTTGACCGGGTGTTGTGCGGGTTTTGACCGGTTTTGTGCGGGTGTTGTGCGGGTTTCGACCGGCTTTTCTGTTGCTGAATGAAATTGTGATGGCCTTCCAGGCTCGGCATGCTTTTGTTTGATTTCTTTTGCATTGTGAGGGATGACGGATTACTTCGCGAGCTGCTCGCAACGAAACGCGTACAATTATTATTTATCCTGGCCTTGAGGGTTTAGTGTTTAGGGTTTAGGGTTTAGAAATCGAAAGCCCCAAGCCACACTCTGGGCTTTGGAGTACTACACTTTAACATGTTTTCTGTGGTTCTGGGTTCCAATTATAGCTACTTATAAGGGGTACCCCAATTTTGGGAAATGCCCCACTTAGGGATGAGGATCCGAAGCCTTAGTTACCTTAGTTCACCGAGCAGATCGAAAGGAGCACAGGCCAGTTCCAGGAGCCCTAAACCCTAAACCCTAAACAGTACTACCCGATATAACCCTTCGGAGCCCTGACAAGAGGCGCCCCCCCCCCCCCTCCCATGATCCCTTAAAAGTCTTCCTGAGCTCAATTCTTACACGCGCCAGCCGAAAAAAGGGCCCGCAGGAACTATAAACCCTAAACCCTAAGCCCTAAGGTTTTAGGGTTAGGGTTTGGGGTTGACCCGAAGCCCCTAAGCCCAAGAAAAACCCGTAAGCCCAAGGAAAACACTGAAATCCCTTGCGGGCCACAGCCTCCAGACACCTTCATCTTAGGGTTTAGGGCTTAGGTTTAGGGCTTAGGGTTTAGGGCTTAGGGGTTAGGGTCTAGGGTTCAGGGCCCCTCCTGAAGCCATGTGTGTGGATGTAATGCGGTCCACCGGTCCCAGACATCCTCCAGAATACGAGTTCTCAGAGTAGATGGCCTTTACCTTTGCTGTTGCTACTACGTTTCAACCGAACTCTCAAGGTTCTTCGATTTGCGTGTGGGGGCTGGGCGGTCATATGCGTGCATATCTTCATGTAGAATTATATAGTTTCAAAGCTTACCCTTTAGTTCCCCTAGGAAATTGGGGCCAGAAAGGCCCTAAACCCTACACCCTAAACCCTAAACCCTGCGAGCTGACAAGGAACAGAAACCACGACCTCGGCTACATCCGCCCAAAGCGCGGTTTCCTTGGCGTCGTCTCCTGCACGCTGATGCGCCTGGGCAAGGTTTCGGGGTTAGGGTTTAGGTTTTGGGTTTAGGGTTTAGTGTTTAGGGAGGCAGTGAAGCCCCAAACCCGAAGCCGAAAGTTGGGAATTCACGGGGGTGCCTGCCCTTGTCCTGTTCCCGTATCATGGGGTTCACTTACATGAAGTCGGGTTTAGGGTTTAGGGTTTAGGGTGTAGGGTCTAGGGTCTAGGGTCTACGTAGGGGTTAGGGAGTCCCTCCAAGCTGGCTTGACCCTACACCTTACCTGGACCCCCAAAGTATGAAACAAAAGGTCTAAAACCCATCAGGAGGACCTTACATACTCTGGGGTTCAGGCAGGCCTTACAAACCCTGGCCCTAAACCCTAAACCCTAAACCCTAAACCTTAAACCCTAAACCCTAAACCCTAAACCCTAAACCCCCCAAACACATTCCAGGGCTTGGGATGTAGCCTCTGGCAAGCCTCGGCTTCGGTGAAGCTTCGGAAAAGTGTTTAGGCTTTGGGCCCTGAACTTCGAAAGGATCAGGGTAGGGTTTAGGGTTTAGGGTTTAGGGTTTAGGGTTTAGGGTTTAGGGTGTAGGGTGTAGGGTGTAGGGTTTAGGGTTTAGGGTTTAGGGCATAGGATCTGGAAGCCCAAGAAGGCCCTAAACCCAGTGTGACCCTAAACCCTAAACCCTAAACCCTAAACCCCCGCGTCCCGAGGTTGCTCCTGCTGGTGCACCTCCGCGACGACTTGGTCTTTGTTGGGTGCATCCCCTGCGAGAACAACAAGTGGTGCTTCCCGGAAGCAGAGTCGGTGACTAATAGGGTTTAGGGTTAGGGTTTAGGGTTTAGGGCTTAGGGCTTAGGGTTTAGGGAAGCTCTAGATTGGGGAATATTTTTTATTTTTGTTTATATAAAATCCCAAGAGTAGATTGAACATATTATGTTTTCATAAAGGTTCTAAGGGGAGTATAGAGCAAAGTCGGTGGCTATAGGGCTTTTGGGGGTTAAGGGTTTAGGGATGTTCCCCCTTAGACTAGCAGTCCTTCACAGGGATTATAATAGGGGGGGGTACTATCATCCCGACTCAGGACTGTTAGTATAAACGGGGAACATCCCAAGGTTTAGGGTTTAAGGCTTCCAGGGTCCTACAGTTTGGGTAGGGTTTAGGGTTTGGTGTTTAGGGTTTAGGGTTTGGTGTTTAGGGTTTAGGGTTTAGGGTTTGGGGTTTAGGGCTTAGGGTTTAGGGTTTGGGGCTTAGGGTTTAGGATTTAGGGTTTAGGGTTTAGGGTTTGGGGTTTAGGGTTTAGGGTTTAGGGTTTAGGGTTTAGGGATCCTTAGACCTTATAAAAGCCCTTATGGGGGGCTCTAAAGATAAATGCCTTCAAAGTGATGGACTGGGGGATACCATGTCCCTTGAAAGGAGATTCCTTACGAAGAGGGGAACCTGCCTTCTGGTTTCTTTGAAGACAGGCGTTTAGGGCTTAGGGTTTAGGGTTTAGGATTTAGGGTTTACGGTTTAGGGTTTAGGGTTTGGTTTCAAGCCCTCATTGGCATGTGCAATCCCTGACGCAACCTGAGGCTCCTAAGCCCAAGCATCAGACAGACAAACATCCCGCAACTCCCAAAATGGCGAACCCTCAGCCCTATTAGCCCCAAGGATTACCAGGATGGGCGATTATACCCTAAAATCCCTTAAACGGCCCTTTATAGGGTTCATTATGGGGATTCTAAGGCCTAATAGCCCATCCTGGTAGAGGAAAGGATAGGGTTTAGGGTTTCGGCTTCACTCCCTAAACCTCAACCCTGAAGCCTAACCCTTATTGTATCGGTTCATGCCAGAGCTTGAAATAGCAGAATCATGAAGCGCTGAGGCTGTGGGGCTTGGGGTTAAGGGTTGTAGCGTGTGCTATATCCTACGCGCCTTGCTGAATTCAAGATGTCGTTTCAGGCTTTGTAAGGCAAAGAGTGTTGGGCTTCGATTCAGGTAGCTCTTAGGGTTTGGGGTTTAGGGTCTAGGGTCTCGGGTTTAGGTTTTAGGGTTGTCAGCACCCCTGCAACCAGCTCGTGACCAGGTTTGGCCTATCAGCCGGTGATCGAATGTGCTACCACGAACTGGGCACCTAGGCACAAAAAACAGGAAGGCACTACCCCTCTGCCTAAGCAGGGGTTTCGGGAAATAGGGGGACCCTCAATCTAGACCCCTGAAAAATGTAGGATTCCCATAGAATACGGACCCCTATAGGGTAACCCCTATTTTCGTAAACCCCTGCCAAAGCAGGAAGGCACCACCCCTCAGCCGTAATCCTTGACTAGGTAGGCCCTTGGGACATTTATGTTTTCCCTTATTGGGTTAGGGTTTAGGGTTTAGGGTTTAGGGTTTAGGGTTTAGGGTTTAGGGTTTAGGGTTTAGGGTTTAGGGTTTAGGGTTTAGGGTTTAGGGTTTAGGGTTTAGGGTTTAGGGTTTAATGTTTAGGGTTTAGGGTTTAGGGTTTAAGGTTTAGGGTTTAGGGTTTAGGGTTTAGGTCATATTTAGGAGTACATTTAAAAGGGTGTCAGGGGCCATCCTAGTTAAATCCCAAAACCCCAAGAGCCTGAGACCCTGAAGCCTCTTTTTCGTCCGAAGGCTCTGGGTGCAAGTGCAGGTTTTCCAGGGTGAAGGTGTCTTCTACATCTCATTCCCAGCCGGCCCTGCTTCAAGACCTGAATCCCTCCATGACCCAAACGTGATAAGCAACCCCTCAAACCTCCCGTAACAGCCTAGAGGTTCTTCCGGCGTCGAAGCTTACAGCCCTCACAGTTTGAAAGGCTCTAAACCCGAAATCCTAAGCCCGAGACCCTAAACCCTGAACAACACGAAGTCGGGAGCACCGCTTGAGGTTTTGGGCTTTAAGGCTTCGTGTTCATACGGTTAGTTAAGTTCATAGGGTGCAGTCATCAGAGACCCGGGTGGGGGATTCCTTGAGATCCCTTGTGGAAGTCCGGGACAAATTTTAAAACAAACACTACAATTTGCTTCAGAACCCTCCAAAAGCCACAAAAACTCTGCCTTATAAGGGTATTAAAGGGAATATATATATATATATATATACATATACATATATATATATATATACATACTTATGCATATATATATATATATATGTTATTTTTTCTGTGCTTTTATTTTTTGGGGTTCTTAAGGAAATAGTAGAACAGGTTCCTTACCCGCACCCAGCCACGCTGAACCTTAGTAGTCGAGTCGATGTTCCTTGAACATTTCTTGGCGTAGTATTGTATATTCCGTAGAAGAAAACCCAGAGGTTAGCCTTTGCAAACCCAACACCCTAAACCCCACACCCGAAACCCCCTTAGTTAGCTCTGTTAGGGAGTTGGACAAGTAAAAAACCCTCCTGGGCCAACAGCCCTAAACCCATGATCCTATGCCCTAAACCCTAAACTATTCCACCCCACATCCCAAACCCTAAGCCTTTCCCCCCTAGAAGCCTAGCACAGACACTGGCCCTTTCAACCCGGAACATCTTACGTCCTAACCCAAACCCCAAACCCTAACCCCAAACCCTAAACCCAAAAACCCAAAAAGACCCTAAACCCCAAACCCCAAACCCAAAACCCCTAAACCCTAAGCCCTAAACCCTAAACCCCACACCCCAAACCCTGAACCCCAAGCCCTAAGCGCTGAGGAGTGGACTGCAGGGACCCCGGAGTGGTGAAGTGGGGTTCAGGGTTTAGGTTGCCTAGTGTTTAGGGTTTAGGGTTTAGGGTTTAGGGTTTAGGGTTTAGGGTTTGGGGTTTAGGGTTTAGGGTTTGGGGTTTAGGGTTAGGTTTGGGGTTCAGGGCCGTTCCGCCAACCGACTCAGAGTTTGGGGTTTCCGAGGTCAAAGTTAGGAGCTTTCCGGGTTTAGGAAGTCAGGGTTTAGGGTTCAGGGTTTAGGGTTTAGGGTTTAGGGTTTAGGGTTTAGGGTTTAGGGTTTAGGGTTTAGGGCTTTTAGGTTTTTTGGAAGTTAGGGTTTAGGGTTGACAGGTTTGGAGTTTTTGGAAGTTGGGTGCTGAGGGTTCAGCAGAATAGGCTTTCTAGGTAGCCCTTGTCCATTGCGTTTTTAGGGGGGTCATATAAGGGGTCCCCTGTTTTTCAGGGCCCATACTCAGGTACCATGAAACCACCCTTATGTGTATGTGTGTGTGTGTGTCCTGGGTTCTTTGATTTTCCACTCATTGCTGTTGGCATGGGGCCACCTGCAGGAGTAAGGTTGAAGGGAATTAGGGTTTATAGGGTTTCTAGGGTTTATAGGGTTTCTAGGGTTTCTAGGGTTTAGGTTTCCAGGGTTTTGGAACGAGAGTCCCTTGGTGCTTCTCCCCAACTGAGACACCTTAAGATGTGGCCCGCCAGGTAGATCACGCCCAACCCCCCCTTCTTATTCTAAAGGAGTCCTACTACTGGTATTCGGGGATCTATAAACCCTAAACCCTAAACCCTAAACCCTAAACCCTAAACCCTAAGGTAACCCCCAGCATCAGCCACTTCTAGGACTTTCAAACGACATGCGAAGTTTTCAGTCCACGGTTCCAAGTATGGGCCCTTGATTTGGACCCCTGGTTATATATCCCTTACATAATGTCGAATAAGATCCCCATACTTCGGATCCCTATAAACAAGGGTAAGGGAGCACAGGGTTCCAACCTTAGAATCGTAGGGCGCGCACGGAAACGCGACCGAGTTCGAGGGAAGGTGGTGGTGGAAGCCATCAGGCTCCACGGTATCTGATGAGGAATTGTTGGAGACGCTTTCAGGTTTCTTCGGCACGGTCGTGCATGGGCTCTAGAGACCTACAGGAGACTGTCTGTAGGGTCGAACTCCCTACTCCCCTACTTGAAGGTTCATGGGTGCTTCTCCCCCCAATTATAAGTCTACGTACAACCTACTTAGAGGACTTAGGGGGCTTATAAGTGCAGATAGAACTGGTTTTTTTCAGTACCCCTTGATCCACCAAGTAGGCAGCCCTGAACCCTAAACCCTAAACCCTAAACCCTAAACCCTAAACCCTATACCCTATACCCTATACCCTAAACCCTAAACCCTAAACCCTAAACCCTAAGCCATGCCAAGACCATGAGCGTGCTCTCCATCCTGGATCTGCTCTTCGTGATCCTGGCATCCATCCCGGTCATCGCGATCTGCATCGTGAAGTCATGGAAGTGGCAGCACGGGTATCCCCGGCTTGGTTTCAGTTCAGGTTTAGGGTTTAGGGTTTAGGGTTTAGGGTTTAGGGTTTAGGGTTTAGGGTTCAGGGTTTAGGGTTTAGGGTTTAGGGGACAGTACCCAGAAAGCTCAATGCCCCTTAAAGAAAGTCATATACGTTATTTCATATCATCAAAAGGGCCCCTGTTTGATTGGAAGTGGATTCCTTAGTTCAGCGCGGTGAGGGGTGGAGTGTCATGAAGTGTCAAGGGGGAGGTGGGTTCCAAACTACACGAAAGCCTGACTGGAGGTTCTACGCAGGGGTACGGTACATCTTTAAGGTTTCGGCTAAACCCTAAACCCGAATCTTACATCATGCTCAAAGACCCAAAGCTATAACCTCCAAGTCCCACAAAAAACTGCCACTGCAAAAAAGACCAAGTTTTCACTCGGGCTTAGGGTTTAAAATTAGGGTTTTTGGGTTCTCAGCAGCAACAGCGGTGTTGGAGCGCTTCGTACCCCAAGGCCCCCTGTAAACCACGCTCAAAGCTTGTGAGGCCCTTGAAAAGGCTTTATGGGCTGTAACTACAGCAAACACTCTCACCCTAAACCCTGAACCCTGAACCTAAACCCCAAACCCCTAAACCCTAAACCCTAAACCCTTCCCAACCCCAAACAGAGCCCAGGGATACGATCGGCTTGGATCCCGACTTCTCTGCGCCCTGGTACATCTTCTTCTCGGCACCTCGACGATCTCTACCTTGGCAGGGTTTAGGGTTTAGGTTTTTTTTTGGGTTTTAAAGGGGGTTTTAGGGGTTCGGGGAGGAGTGCATGGTTGTGGGTTCAGGGTTCTTTTAGTTTACTTTGCTCTGTGTTGCCCCACCTGATGTCCCTCCTCGCCGTTTAGGGTTTTAAACACTACGGCTTGTGGCGAAGGGCTTGGTTTGTTCGTCAAGAGTTCAGGTGTTCTTGTTTTTTTGTTGGGTTTTTGCTCTTGGGCAGAGGTGGCGAACTTGCTCTCGCCCTCTTTCTTGGGATTAGTTCATCCCACCAGGCTGAACCTTTTTTATCCCTGAAGCCCTAAATCACCTCCCAGCCTTCGCTGTCACCCTTAGAACAGCAAGCCCAAAAACACCCGATGCCCCAGGTCCGGAGTCCCAAGAGTCCAGCCAAGCCGCCCTTTCCTGAATGAATGAACGGATGCCCTTGAATGAATGAATAAAGGAAATGAGTAAAATGAATGACATGAACACATGAAGAAATGCATGGGCGAACGACAAAGACCATTTTAGAGGTTTGCCGGTCGAGGGTTGATGGTTTGGGGCTTGGGGCTGTAGGGTTTAGGGTTTAGGGTTTAGGGTTTAGGGTTTATTATAGGGTCTAGGTCTTGCGCTGTTCCCTGTGGACCAGGAGTTCTGGGTGAAGCGGCATCGTGGCTACATCCAGGAGGTGAGACAGGCGGGGAACCGCCCTGGGCCCCGATAAAAAGCCCTAAGTTCCTGAACCCTCAGCCCTAAGCCCCAAACCCTACACTCTAAAGCCCCAAACCAAGGAAGAGTTTCGAGATTTTGTTTTTTGGTGACTTTCTGTTTTGGGGGGCGGACGGCGGGGGGGGGGGGGGGGGGGGTAGAGGCGCACGACGGGCTGTGGGAGTTTAGGGGTCAAGGGGGTTTCAGGGTTTTGGGGTTTGGGTGTTCAGGGTCTTGGGGTTCAGGGGTGCATGCTGGAGCTATCCACTCAACCTCCGTAAACGCCAAAACAAGCCAAACACTTCGATCCGATTTGCAGAGACTGAGCTAGCATCCTAGTTATTCGGCCTACTCTGTGCCCCGACCTTTAGCACGTCAGCACTACACCCGAAACCCTGTGAATCACAACCAGCGCCTTCTGTACGCTCTCATCCCGAGGCCGCCACCACCTATAGAAACCCAATACACCTGAATGAAGGAAGTTATACGTGGGTTTAGGGTTTAGGGTTTAGGGTTTAGGGCCTTAAAGAAGACGAAACCTCATGACATCCGAGCTAGATTCCCTAGCTCAGGGGTCATGAACTTTTTGAAAATGTGCTAAGGCACCCCCCCCCCCCGCCAGGGACTTCGGATGGGGAGGTTTTTTGGAAACAGGGAGCAACTTAGAATGCCAGGGCCAAACCTGAAGCCCAAACCCTCATCCCTAAACCCTAAACCCTAAACACCTAAACCCCAAGCCTACAAACCCTAAAGCCTAAACCCGAAGCACCAGGCCGTCCCCGAGTTCCAGCTGATCTTCAGGGAAGATCAGGAGGCTGCCGAGATGCACCAGGACGGGGTTTAGGGTTTAGGGTTTAGGGTTTAGGGTTTAGGGTTTAGGGTTTAGGGTTTAGGGTTTAGGGTTTGGGGTTTGGGGTTCAGGGTTTAGGGTTGGCTTCTTCTAGGTAGGATGAGGGGGACCCTTAAACGGGAACCCTTCTGAACCCTCTTCTGGCTCTCTTAAACAGGGACCTTATTGAGAGGATGTATATCCCAAGGGTCCCCCTATTCCTATCCCCTAGTTTGGGATGGCTTCATAAGCCTCTTCAGAAACGGCTGCCATGTTGCACACGCCTACTCCCTTGGATTGGCGTCAAAACATACCCTGGCTTCTGCATGCTAGAAATATATATATTCTCTTGAAAACTCTGATAGTTGCTAAGCCCTCAGGCCTACCACAATTTGAGCTCTTAAATCCTTAATTCTCGCCCTGAACCCTCTAAACAGAAATCCCTTAGCCCCCAAACGCCTAAACCCCAAACAAAGTAACCCTAAACCCTATAACCCCCCTCCCCGAAATTCCCTAGAAATCCCTAAACCCTTCTGCCCGAGAGGTAAGGAAGCACATGGTCCCTTGTCTTCGTTAAAGGGTTCTGAAGTATGGGCCCTGGAGTTTTATAGGGGGTAGAAGGGTTCCCTCAACCGTTTTGCCAGGCCCCTTAGACAGTCTGACCAGGAGCTGTGGCAAAAGGCAATCGACCTCATTTTGGCCCAGGAAGCTGAGAAGGCACGAAGTCTTCCTCCAGGGGTTTGGGGCTCAGGGTTGTGGGCTCTTTAGGAACCATCCGCTAGAGGGGTACTTATTTCTGTTTTTTTTGTGGTTGCCGGACTACTGCACCAAGATTAGCCGCTTTACCGAACGAGTCCTCAAACATGTCTCGATGCGGTTTTGTAAGCTTAGTACTGTTCGGGTGGTCCAGAATATTCCAAGAGTTCTGAGACAGATTCTGAAGGTTTGTTCAGGATCAAAGGCAAGTCATGATTAGCCAGTCTCCACCTGGGTAGGCTTGAACGTTGCTGCGTTCTTATCCATCTCGCGCAGGTCTGCGTGTTTCTTTTTCAATCTGACATGCAAGGCAGGGAATCTAGGATGATTCGGGCTCGTGCTTTCGATTCCCTTCAGCCCCGGAAAAACCCGAAACCCTAAACCCTAAACCCTAAACCACTACAACATATACCAGAGTCCATCACATGCTTCCTTGTTGTCGCAGGCAGAGCTGCTGTTGATTCGGGTCATTCGGCATCTGTACCACGGCATTTTGGAGCAGGGGTTTAGGGTTTAGGGTTTAGGGCTTAGGGCTTAGGGCTTAGGGATTAGGGCTTAGGGCGGGGGGTTTAATTAGGGTTTAGGGTTTAGGGCTTGATGTGTTGACTTGTAAGAACTCTGCTGCAAATACCATGGGCTTGTGTACGATTGCGGGAATGGCTTCGGGCTAAGGGCAGTTACCACGCCTAAGTCCATGCATTACCGCGCGTGGGGGTGTAGGGTGGAAGGTCTAGGGTTTGGGGCTTTCGATGTTTGTGCAAGTCGTTTTTAATTGGTGCTGCAACTGAGCACGGCAGGACTGCTGCTGCTGCTGCTGCTGATGATGATGATGATGATGGTGATGATGATGCTGATGATGATGATCCCATCCACAATCCTCATCAGCACCATCATCGTCATCATCAGTCTCATCATTATGAATGGCACGTACGAGGGCATCCCCAATTTGAACAAATCTCCCATGTGCTGAGGTATGCGCACAGCCCGCGGTTCAGGGTGATCGATGAGGACGAAGGCGTGGCTGCTATAACAGATCTACCCCCAAACCCTAAAACTTAAACCCGAAACCCTAAAACCCAGGCCCAAACCTAAAACCCTCAACCATAAACCCTAAACCCTAACCCTAAAACCTAGGCCCCAAACTCAAAACCCCAAACCGCCCTCAGATCCTGCCCCTAACAGCAGATCATCCTGAAAGTGCTTTGCTTTACCTCCTAGTTACAACCCCCAAACCCTTCAACGAACCCTTACCCTTAATAACCCAAACCCGAAATTAGAAACTCTGTTGTGTGTACATGTATATCTGTATATATACATATACATGTTTATATGCATTTAGCTATTTATTCATGTGTGTGTGTTCACAAAGACTGGCCTGAAATGCACTGTAGCTGGAAAAGCGGGTCTCCCACCACAACAAGATTCCAAATTGACCCCCACCCATTGCTCGAGTAGCAAGCGTCGTGCCCTGAGTGAAATAGTACCGCCGTGGGAAAGCTCACCAACGGCAGCCCCTACGAGATCCAGGTCTATGATGTCAAATGCTCGCCCTCGGAGGTGGACCCTTGCTGCAAAGCATGTGTTCCACTTTCTCACCAAGGCGTACCACGCCATGGCAAGCAAGCGGTACTGTGGTCCCCGGCAAAAAACGCCTGCGCGAATGCAGGATTCCAAACTCTAAATGCCCTAAACCCTTGTCCCTTCAAGAAGAGTAGCCCTCTCTTGTTTGGATATTTTGGGAGCATCGCAGCGGTCTAGTCTTTTTCAATCCAGCGCAAAGCCCCTAAGCCTTTAAGGTTTAGGGTTGAGGGCTTATAGGCCCTAAGCTCCTTTGGACAGGTCCCACTTTCCAGATCATCCGTGGCCTGAGGCTCCCGACTGGTTTTCGCGTGGAGCCGTGAGGGCTTCGGGTTTCAGGTTTGGGGGCTCTTGAGGGTTTAGGGTTTAGGGTTTAGGGTTAGGGTTTGTGTGGTTCGGTTGGGATACCGCGGTGACAGATTGCACAGGGGTTCTAAACCCTAAGCCCAATAAACCCCCAACCCCACACCCCAGCATTAAGGAGGGCTAGGGTTTAGGGTTTAGGGTTTAGGATTTAGGGTTTAGGGTTTAGGGTGTAGGGTTTAGGGTTTAGGGTTTCGGGTTTCGGGTTTCGGGTTTCGGGTTCGGGGTTGCAGAAAGGCTTTGTCCCCTGCAGGGACTACATCGTTGGCGATGTCCGGCATGGGAATGAGCTGGGTGGCCTGAGCATCGCAGCCCGCCTCAGAGTTCAGGTTTTTGGAGGTTCTGGAGGCTCCAAACCCTCAGTCTCCCTAAACCCCAAACCCTAAACCCCAAACCCCAAACCCCAAACCCTAAACCCTAAACCCTAAACCCTAAACCTCGGGCTCTAGAAAAAGCTACTTAACACAGGGAGCCCTTATGATTCCCGAGTATCTGGATGGTGGTGTCGCTGCTGCCTACTGAGGGCCTGCTGCCACCCATCGAGGAGAATCGGAACGAGATACCCGAGGAGGCGCAACCCTGCACCCTAAACCCTAAACCCTAAACCCTAAACCCTAAACCCTAAACCCTAAACCCTAAACCGGCTCTAGCAGGTTCAGGGCCTGTAGGGTTTTTTGGGGTCTAGGCTCTATGGCGGGTCTTATAATCCTCCCATACACTCAGGGCGATCCTTCCTCGTTTTTGGGAATCTCGAAAGGGTCATGATGATGGGAGAGTTTGGGCGACAGACGAGCAAGGCGATGCTTAGGAGGATTCTCGGGTTCCAAGCCTTTCGCAGGGTTCGGAGTCTCCA